AGGCGGGGCTTCYGAGCAAGCCCGAGCGCAAGCTTCCTGTAGTTTGCTGCGGCARGAGCGTATGCTCGCAWRGCTGCCCTAGCAAAGGGAAAGAGGCGGAGAAAGAGGCGGAGCATCGCTCGTGCTGGCTTAGTTTGCTCTCGCAAAATCCTAGTTTGCTACGGCTCTTAAGCAAGCATTGCAGACGACAGCATTCGCTTCCTCACCAGGAATAATTTTGTTGTCCCCCAAGCTCTGGATTTTCCGATCCAGGATGCGCCTCCCTCTATTGAGCGTCTTCAAGAACTGGACCTCCTCTTCGTTGATAATATCTTTCACCATCTCTGGGTCTTTTTTCAGTTCGGGAAAGGCACCGCCCTGAAAGCAGGAAGAGCTGTCAGGCCAAGTTCAGCAGCTTGATAGCAACTGGGAGAGAAAGGGCTTGAAAGCTTACCAGGGACTCCACCACGACGTCAACCAACGTGGCAAAGAACCCTCTGGGCGCACCGAGTTTCTCGTGGGCATAGCGGACCGCGCGGCGAAGAATGCGCCTCAGAACATACCTATGTGCACGAGGGCAAAAGAAGTAAGACAGAGGTCGGCCTTGGCACCCAATGGCCAAATCCACTGGCAGAGCCCCAGTGCCCAAATTAAGTCAAATAATTAGATCTGTTTTTTGCAAATTTTGGAAATTCAGGAAGAACTTTTGTCTCCTTTCCATTCTTTGCATCTTTCCAAAAATTATTTATTTATTTATTAATCGGATTTATATACCGTCTCTCCCCGAAGGCTCGGAGCGGTTTACAACATACATATGCAATACATTACATTTAAAAACAAAGAAAAATTTCAACCAACCAGATTCAAATGCCAACCTAAATAAATAAGTTTTACAAGGTTCTTGTGGGTTTTTTCGGGCTATAGGGCCATGTTCTAGAGGCATTTCTCCTGACGTTTCGCCTGCATCTATGGCAAGCGTCCTCAGAGGTAGTGAGGTCTGTTGGAAATAGGACAATGGGTTTTATATATCTGTGGAATGGCTGGAGTGGGGCAAAGAACTCTTCCCCGCTGGAGCTAGGTGTGAATGTTTCAACTGACCACCTTGATTAGCATTTGAAGGCCTGGCTGAGCCTGGGAAAATCTTTTGTTGAGAGGTGTTAAGATGTGCCTGGTTGTTTCCTCTCTGCTGTTTTGCTGTTGTAATTTTAGAGTTTTTTTCATTTTCATGAAAATGAACAAAATCTGGCTACCAGTATTAAAAAACTCTAAAATTACAACAGCAAAACAGCAGAGAGGAAACAACCAGGCACATCTTAACACCTCTCAACAAAAGATTTTCCCAGGCTCAGCCAGGCCTTCAAATGCTAATGAAGGTGGTCAGTTGAAACATTCACACCTAGCTCCAACAGAGAAGAGCTCTTTGTCCCACCCTGGTCATTCCACAGATATATAAACCGATTGTCCTATTTCCAACAGACCTCACTACCTCTGAGGATGCTTGCCATAGATGCAAGCGAAACGTCAGGAGAAATGCCTCTAGAACATGGCCCTATAGCCCGAAAACCCCCACAAGAACCTAGTGATTCCAGCCATGAAAGCCTTCGACAATACAAGTTTTACAAGCTCTACGAAAAGATAGTAAATCTCAGAGAGTTCATGTTTCCACTGGCAAGGCATTCCACAGGTAAGGAGCCACCACCGTGAATGCTCTACGCCTAGTAGACATCAGGTGAAAGGTCCTAAAATTGGGAACTTCAAAATATGCCAAAAATCAAAAAAAAAACAAAAAAAAAACCCGAAAATCCTTTTTTTAAAAGCCTCTCTGCTCTTTTCAATTAAAAATTTGGCAACAATCATTTTCTGAATGCCACACGGTGTCCGTTTTAGACATTTAAACCAAATCCGTTATGCAATGTTCACACTGGACTCTGCCGAAGATGCTTCAGCTATGACTCACAACAAGGAAAATCACCCCGTTTAGCAAGCTTTGCAAATGCCGGGACTGTGGCGCAGCTGGCTGGGAGTCAGCTGCATTAAGATCACTACTGACCGAAAGGTCATGAGTTTGGAGCCAGCCCGGGTCGGAGTGAGCTTCTGACCAATTTGTGTAGCTTGCTGTCGACCTTTGCGGCCCGAAAGACAGTTGCATCTGTCAAGTAGAAAATTTAGGTTCTGTTGTGGCTCAGTTGGATTCTGAGTCTGAACCTGAACCCTGTGGGTCTTGTGAGCCAGAGTTCAAAGAGGATGATGGGATTCAGATTTCTGTGTCTGTCTCAGACAATGCAGCAGGAGAGACAACAAGTCAGTTCTCAAGGGAAAAGAAAGCCAGTGAGCTAGATAACGGCCAGGTGGAGTTGTCTTCACCTGCTCAGCCTTCCCACGCTGATTTGGTCCAGCTGGACCCAACTGATAAGGAGAGCACTGAAGATAGTGAATTAATGAGCAGGCAAGAACGCTTAGATTGGAGGGTCAGGAGGAGTTTTCGCTTAGCTAGTAAGAAAGAAGCCAAGTCTGTCAAAGGTCAGCGCAATGCCTTCATGGTTGCTAAGGGTATTTAGGTCTCTAGCTGACAAAGAGAAATTGTCAGTTCAACGTGGCTCTTTTCATGCAAGCTTCTATGGATTAACCTTGTCTTTAAGCAGCACGCTTTTGGCTTCCTGAACCTGGGATTTTGGATCTTGTATTTCACCATGGACTCCTGTTTGATCATTGCCTAAAGGATTATGCTTTGTGTTTTTGCCTTTGGATCTTGAGAACTGTATTTTTGCATTTGTCTTTGCATTTCTTACTCTATGTTTTGACTTTGTTTTTCCTCAATAAACTACAAAATCTACAGCTCTGGTGTGGTGGTGTTTTGGGAGCAAGGTGAAGCCTACTCTGAGTTGCAACAGGTACTGCTTATTTAACTAATTTATGAGGCCATAAAAATCTCCAGCAAGCATGCAAAGAATAAGGAAGTACTCCATCATTGTCACTAATGGAAGGTAAAGCAACAGCTCCCCTGGTGGCCAGAATACCCTCATCAAAAGCTGGAATGTTAAATAGCCTCTGAGTGTCTGTCTATATATCTTGTGTGTCTATGGCATTGAATGTTTGCCATGTATATGTGCATTGTAATCCACCCTGAGTCCCCTGCGGGGTGAGAAAGGCGGAATATAAATACGGTAAATAAATAAATCTATATAAATAAAAATGTCATGTTCGTTTGTGGGATTAAGAGAATTCAAAAACCACTGGATGAATTGACACCAAATTTGGATACAAGACACCTAACAACCCAACGTATGTCCTTCACTCATAAAAACACTGAAAAACACAGCAGAAGGGACTTAAAAAGCCCCAAAAAGCTAAATGATGAAAAGCTAAATGACCATACAGAAAAAAGGGAAGAAAGAGGGAGGGAAGGGGGAGAAAAAGAAAGAAAGAAAGAAAGAAAGAAAGAAAGAAAGAAAAGAAAAGAAAGAGGGAGGGAAAGAAAGAAGGAAAGGGAGAAGGAATAATCGAAGCAAAGAGAGAAGGAAGGAAGGAAGGAAGGAAGGAAGGAGAGAAAGAGGGAGGGAAAGAAAAAGGGGGAAGGAAGGAAAGTTAGAGAAGGAAGGAAGGAGAGAAGGAAAGAAAAAAGGGAAAGAAGGAAGGAAAGAGGGAGCGAAGGAAGGGGGAAAGTGTAGAGAAAGAGGGAGGGAAGGAAAGAGAAGGAAGAAAAGACAGAAGAAGAGAAAGAAAAAGGGGGAAGGAAGGAAAGAGATGGAGAAGAAAGGAAGAAGAGAAGGAAAGATGGGAAGGAAGGAAGGAAAGAGGGAGTGGACGAGGGAGGGAAAGAAGGAGAGAAATAGGGAAGGTTGGCCACAGCTAGTAAAGGTTTTACAATGTATTGTAATGTAATATAGCTGAGTCATGCACTGCTAATGGGCTTCTATTGGAAATGCTGAGTCATGAATTAACTGTATATAGGGAATCATTTGGGGAATGTGTTCTGGCCTAGTCCAGGTGATTGTGAATGATGCAATCCTGGGTCTGAGTTAAGTCAATGAGTTGGGAACCAATCAGAGATTGCTATGTGTAAATGAATTGTATATAAGGAAGTCATGTACAGTGTATTCTTTCTCCTTGTGCTGTGATGTTGTTTGTCGAAGGCTATATGTAATTAAAACAACCTGTCTGCTAAGACAAGATATAACTGTATGCTGTGGTAAGTTTGTAATGTCATCTAGACTGGGGGAAAGACAATGGTAAAACTGACAATGGTCGGGCATGTGCTCAAGTGTCTGTAAAAGAGTTCCAGAGTGACTGCAGTTTGTGGGAGCAGTTGACTGAAGAGAGCTGTGCAGGAATAAGCTACTGGAAAGCGCTGAAGTTGTGCAACTGATTTGCTGCTGAACTGTGAAGTTAATCTCAACATAAATAAATATCAGTGACTGTTTCATTTGTATACCTATTTTCTATACCTATATATGTAAAGATCTCTCAGACCGAAAGGAGTCATGAGTGGAAAAGTTTAAGAAGCCCAGAGTCACAATTGCATCCTTTTTAAGACTCAGGTCCCCAACACATGTTCCATGCAAGTGGCGTGAAGGGAGAAACCAGACGCGCTCTTACCCCCTCCCGGTGTTGTCAGGCCTTCCGCCATCAGAAAGGGCCACCGTGATGGTGCGGGCGTGGTCAGCAAGTACACGATAAGCCATGTCTATGCCGTCCGCATCATCTTCACCAACCTGCCCCGTGTATGGCCTGCAGCCCGTGCCCTGGGATGAAGAAGCAACAAGGGGGCGTTGGAGAAGCAGAGGACGATCAAACAATGCAGGTCAACAAGCAACAGCAGAGTTGATCACAGACATGGTGGTCTTTTCTGAGGCCTTCTGGCACTACATATGCATCTGTACACGTACCTTTTGGATGGCCTCAAAGTAAGGCACAAAGAGATCTGTATCATAGTTGGACATCTTGTTCTGCAGCACGGACACCAGCCTCTCTAAGCCCATGCCCGTATCAATGCTTTTCTTGGGAAGAGGTTTCAGGGTCCCATCAGCCTCCCTAGCACAGGAAAAACAAAGGCGTCATGATTACACTGGAAGGGCAGAACAACCTCCCTCTCTGCCAACCAAAGGCATTCCCTGTGTGGACAGAACTTGAGGGCATGTGATAATAGTAATAATAATAATAATAAGACGTTATTTGTACCCCGCTACCATTTCCCGAGGGACTCGGTGCGGCTTACATGAGGCCGAGCCCGCAATACAACAATAACAATAACAGCAATAATACAAAAACAATAACAATAACACGACACATTTAAAAACCAATGGCTGGGCCAAATTTAATAATTAATTTTTAAAAAAAATAATGCTGGGCATGAATAGGTAACATGTAATTGGAATAAAGATTTTGGAGAGGAAAAAAGTGTGCAGACAATCCAAAATCATTATTAAAATGCGTTTGAGGACATATTGCTGGGAGTTTCCTTATTCTGGGAAGGCACACTGAAACAGCCACGTTTTCAGGCTCCTCCTAAAGACTGCCAGAGTTGGGGCTTGTCTAATATCCCTGGGGAGCGAGTTCCAGAGTCGAGGGGCCACCACCGAGAAGGCCCTGTCCCTCGTCCCCACCAATCGCGCTTGCGATGGAGGCGGGATCATGAGCAGGGCCTCTCCAGATGATCGAAGGGGTCGTGTGGGTTCGTACACAGAGATGCGGTCACGCAGGTAGGCGGGTCCCAAACCGTTTAGGGTTTTGTAGGTAAGCACCTGCACCTTGAATTGGGACCGGAAAATGAACGGCAGCCAATGGAGCTCCTTAAATGTAATCCCTGCATTTCGCCATAGTGAAGTCTCCCAAGATAATACAATATTACTCTAGTCTAAATATTATGGAGGGAAATGGAGTACAACTCTGGGAATCTCCAAGCTAGAAGGCCCATTGACTCTGAATAATCATCATCATCATCATCATCATCATCATCATCATCATCATCATCTTTATTTCTAACCCGCTACCATCTCCCCAAAGGGACTCGGGGCAGCTTACATGAGACCAAGTCCAGCAATACAGCAATGCAAATAAACAACATACATCAACAATAATAAAAAAATACAAAAAAACAATAGAAATAAGCACATCAAACAAAGCACATCAACCAATGTAAAAGTGCACTGGAACTGTGGCGCAGCTGGCTGGGAGTCAGCTGCATTAAGATCCCTACTGAGTTCGAAGCCAGCCCGGATCAGAGTGAGCTTCCGGCCAATTTGTGTAACTTGGTGTGGACCTTCGCAGCCCGAAAGACAGTTGCATCTGTCAAGTAGGAAACTTTGGTACCACTTATGCGGGGAGGCTAATTTAACTAATTTACGGGGCCATAAAAATCTCCTGCAAGCATGCAAAGAATGAGGAAGTACTCCATCAGTGTCACTAATGGAAGGTGAAGCAACAGCTCCCCCGGTGGCCAGAATACAGTCAAGAAAAGCTGGAAAGTTAAATAGCCTCTGTGTGTCTGTCTATATATGTTGTGTGTCTATGGCATTTGATGTTTGCCATGTATATGTACATTGTAATCTGTCCTGAGTCCCTTGCAGGGTGAGAAGGGCAAAATATAAATACTGCCAATAATTTTGCTGAAGTCTTTATGGCCTCATAAATTAGTTAATTTACTCAGTGTTTTAAAAGTTTAAAACACTGGGTAAAAAGTCAAAACCATGTATCTGGACAGGGGATCAGAGGGACAAAAGGAGGGTTTAATTGCACTGGTAGGTAGAAAATAAAGTGCTTCCGAGGGCATTTTATGCAGGGTTTGGTCAGGTCAGGGGTTATAATTCAGTTCATCCTTCATTGAAGGCACACTGGAATAGCCAAGTTTTCAAGCTCTTCCTAAAACTGCCAGGATGGGGGCTTGCCTAATTTCTCTGGGAAGCGAATTCCAGAGGGGACACCGCAGAGAAGGCCCTGTCCCTCGTCCCCACAAGTCTCACTTTCCTGTCACGGCAAAAGAAGACAACTCAGCTGGAAGGGATCAAGTAAACAAGTGAGCCAGATTGGGAAAAAAATATCAAAGCACTTTAACTACTTTAAACAGATTCTTCCTTGACATCAACAAGCATTTCACCTGCATCCAGAGAGTATCATGAACGCAAACAACAATAGATATGCACGTAATTTGGCACGCATACCCAATATGCCAAAATTTGAATACTGGTGGGTCTGGGGTGGAACTGACCATGACATTTGTTAGTTGTACGTACTGCTATCCAAGAGCACCCTGCACCCCATCAATGATGGACCTAGACCTAACGTGGCACACAGAACTCCCTTGACCAACTGACCGTACTGCAGGGATTTGACAGGACTGACCCACCATGGTGGGAGTTGTAGTCCACCCTGCAGCTGGAGAGCATACTGAATTCCACCCATTATACACCTAGAGCAAACTTGCTCAACATAACAAACTTTAAGTATTGATTGCATTTCAGGGAGTTAATCTGGCATGATGGGAGTTGTAGTTTACCCAAAACCTTATTCATTTTGTAAAATAAATAAATGACTTCTAATAACCTGGGCAGCGCCGGGCACCCAAGCTAGTTTCTAATATTCTCCACAATGGTCAAGATAACGTTAAATTGTTTGAAAGATTGTTGCAATTCTTGTCCCACCTGTTGAACTGTATGAACACCAGGTTCCATATTTCCAGGACGTTAGGATCATCTTGATTGACCAGATGTGAAGCATCTCGGTCCCCAATCCGGTCGTAATGCATCTCACTGCAGGGCCCGCACGGCCCAGTGTCACCCATTTCCCAGAAGTTATCCTTCATGCTGCCAGGAAGTATCCTGTCCTCTGGAAGACTAGGAAGAAAAATCAGAGTTGGACAGTCTTATCTTAAATTACAGCTTTAGGTAAATATTCAAAACCATTTAACCTGAAGATGCCTCAATTAATGTGATTTTATTGGTATCTATATTTTGAAATTGACCAGTCACTGCTGCAATTCCCACCCTCGGCTTATACTCGAGTCCATACATTTTCCCAGTTTTTGTGGTAAAATTAGGTGTCGCGGCTTATATTTGGGTTGGTTTATACTCAAGTATATACACTATATATATATATATACACACACATACACATACTCGAGTCCATATGTTTTCAGAGTTTTTTGTGGTAAAATTTGGTGCCTCGGTGTTGTAGTTCAGCGTGTTGCTCGAGTTGCTACTCCCAGTAGCAGGGAGAACGGGTCTACTTTGGAGTTGGAGGGAGAACAGCAGTGTCAGCACATTAGGGAAATCATTATGGCTCCAAGTGATACTGACACGTTTCCAGGCTCCTCCGATTGTGAGATGGGGGATGGGGAAGTGAGTAGAGGTGTAAAGAGGGCTGCTCGCGAGCCAGAGTCTGAGGGGGAATTACAAAGGAAACGTATTCGGGAAATACTTTGTGCACCAACAGAGGATGAAGATTTCCTTGGGTTTGAAAGGAGTTCTGGGTCTGGGAGTGATATGGAAGAAGAGGAAGAATTAGATTGGACTCGTGTGCAACACATAAGGGATATCTGTAACCAACCCACCTCTAGTGAGGAATTTGAGGGGTTCACTGGGGATTGGCAGCCTGGGGACTCTTGGCAGGATCTGAACCCTGATAATCGTTGGCAGAGGTGGAGGGATGGGCACTCAGCTGCAGGTTTGGGGTGGAAATGATGATGAGAGGGTGGGGAGCTCATCAAGCTCTGAGGAAGAACTTTGAGATAAAAGGGGGTTCAGTTTGGACTATATTTAGCAGAAGGCAAAGTGTCTTCATAGGACATAATTCTTTGTACTGCCAACTTTCCACCTTGGGTCCTGGGCTATAGCTTTGTGTGTTCCTGTACTCCTGTTTCCTCGGTGACTCCAGCGTTCCAGCCTTGCTTCTCAACGGATTGACCATGGACCGGTTTGACTACGCTTTTGGACTTCTGGACTTTGTATGCTAATACTTTTGTGACTATAACAATTCTTAGTTTTTAAACCATGTTTTTCCAGCTTCAGAGACTGTGTTTTTGTTCTATTTTGACTTTCAAGCAATTCGCTTCATCTTTGGTTTAATCCAGATTATTAGGCAGCGCTATAATCCAGATTATATTTTTGTTACTCATATCGACTTATTTTTGGTGCCAAATTGCTCCAGCGGGCCTTAGCACTGAAGTCAAGTGCTTTGTAGGTCCTTTTATTTGCAATAAAGCTGTGTTTGAACCTTTACTCTGTGTCTGGCGTTGTTTAAGGCTTCTGGGTCCTGACACTCGGCTTATATTTGGGTTGGCTTATACTCGAGTATATACAATGTGTATGTATATATATAATATCTACTCGAGTCCATACATTTCCCCAATTTTTTGTGGTAAAATAAAGTACCTCAACTTATATTCAGTTCAGGTTATAGTCAAGTCTATATGGTAGCTTGTGCATCTTTTCCCCTCCCCTCTTCCTCCCTTTGAACATCCAGGAGGAAGAATAAACTAGATTTCAATTTCAACAGCATGTTTAGAAAAGCAGAGAGAGGGAAAACCAGGAGAGAGGCAAGTTGGAGAAGGAGGTTTAATAAATCAAAGGCTCCGAGGAAGGCCCCAGGAAGGTCACATGGGCGACTTACAAGGTATTTATAACCATGCGTGTCAAAGGTTGGCAAGAGAAAGTGGAGGGAAGGGGTCACCACATGGGAGAAGTAAACAGAAGAACCGGACAGGCAAGAAACCCTATTCTGCCTCATACCCCGGTTGCTCTATCAGCAGGAGGGGGAAGGAGAATGATGGAATTTTCCAACACGTTTCAAATCCAAGTCCCACAAAACCAAACATCTGCGATTCTGAAACTGAATTTCCATTGATTTCTCCTTTAAGCCGCGATTGAGCGTTACATATGAAACTCTCTTCTCCCAATTGAAAGGAACAGGCAAGGTTTGAGAAAAGGAAGCACAATAATAGTAATAGTAATAATAATAATAATAATACTTTATTTATAAGTATTATAAATACTTATTTATAATACCCCGCTACCATCTCCCCATGGGACTCGGTGTGGCTTACATGAGGCCGAGCCCACAATACAACAATACAAGCAATAACAAATACAATACAAAGCAATTAAAATAAATCTCATACACAAAAAGCAGGTTTCTACAATTCTGTTTATGCTTCTTTGCATTTTCTTTGTATCCTTTTTAGTTTTAGAGAATCGTGTTGGCCCTAGCTCCTGCCCACCTAGCAGTTCGAAAACACGCAAATGTGAGTAGATCAACAGGGAAGGTAAAAAAGGCGCCCGTGCAGCCAAGGACTGAATATACGGACTGAGTTGACATGATTTTATCTTGGCAAACGACTGTTGTGTAATTGATCCTATATGTATTGCTTAATTTTAATGTTGATGTATGATATTTTAGATTTTAGTGTTAGCACTGAATTTTTGCTGTCAGTTGGTTTGAGTCCCTCTACGGAGGTAGAGAAGATCGGGATATAAAAGTTTTAAATAATAATAATAATAATAATGCTGGCAAAACGATCAGGAGGTGTCCATGGACAACAGGCTCCTTGGCTTGGAAATGGAAAAAGAGCACCTCCCCCTTGGCCAGAATTGAGAGGGGACTCAAGGCAGCTTTACATATGGCCTTTGAACCACAAACAGTTAAAATATTTATTTATTTAGGTTCTTGTGGGATTTTTCGGGCTATAGAGCCATGTTCTAAAGGCATTTCTCCTGACGTTTCGCCTGCATCTATGGCAAGCATCCTCAGAGGTAGTGAGGTATTATTAACTTTATTTATTTATTTATTTATTTATTTCGTACATTTATATCCCGTCCTATCTCCACCTCTGCAGAGGGACTCAGGACGGCTAACAACCGGCACACCATGGTGCCCACAACGAAAAGCATAAAAATACAATTTAAATAAAAGCAGTATAAAAACATTCAATCAAATACATTAAGTTAAAGATTTAAAATTAAATGCACATGAAAAAACACATAAAACATTACAATCACTATTAAAAAAAATCACGCATTCCACAATCATAATCCAGGACCGCTCCAAAAGTCATTGCACATAATTCTGTAGCTATTATTGCACTATTATTATTATTATTATTATTATTATTAACTTTATTTGTACCCCGCTAGCATCTCCCGAAGGACTTGATGCGGCTTACAAAGGCCAAGGCCTCAACACACAATATAACAATACAAAACCTAAAGCAAATTAAAAACAGTTAAAGCAATATTAAACAACAAGCAATAAACAATACAACAGGACACAATAAAACTGGGCCGGGCCTGAGTAATGGGTACAGATTAAAAGTGCTGATGTGACAGGTGGTATGTAAGGATTATGGGGTAAGTGCAGTGTGCCAGCAATCTTGATTTCTAGTAAAATGCTTCTGGGACTTGTTATTGGAGTTTCCTATTCTGGAAAGGCACATCGGAACAGCCAGGTCTTCAAGTTCTTTCTAAAGACTGCCAATGTAGGGTCCTGTCTAAGATCTTTGGGGAGGGTGTTCCAGAGTTGGGGGGCCACCACATAAAAGGCCCTGTCTTGCATCCCCACCAGACACGCAGGTGGAATCACGAGCAGGGCCTCTCCGGATGACCGAAGTTATTGCGTGGGTTCGTAGACGGAGATGCGGTCACGCAGGTAGGCAGGTCCCAAACCGTTCAGGGCTTTGTAGGTAAGCACCTGCACCTTGAATTGGGCTCGGAAAATAAACAGCAGCCAGTGGAGCTCCTTGAACAGGAGGGTTGACCTCTCTCTGTAAGGGGCCCCAGTTAGCATCCTGGCCGCTATAGTTAATCACCGAAGGCTTATTATTATTATTATTACTATCATCATCATTACCATCATCGTCATCTAATGGTCTCATCTCTAGCCAGCCTTCCCCAACCTTTTGGACTGCAACTGCCACAGTCCTTTAGCTTTAGCTGGGTATGGTGGGAACTTTAATCCAAAATATCCACAAAGAGCGAAGCTGGAGAAGACTCACATGCACCAAATAGTGGCTGCAGACCAGGGAAAGCTGGTCATCTAGACACAAAGGTAGCTCAATCACTATCTTAGAAAATGCTTAGGCAACTCACCCTAAATCCAGCCAGATCTGTTTGCAATCTAAATCTGGCTGCAGACCAGCTGCCTCGTTGCCACCAAAGTATGTGACGTACAGCCTCTCAAGAGGGATTCCAAACTCTTTGGTGAGCAGGTCCAGGGCAAATTTGCAAGCCAACTCCTGGATAAATAAAAGAAAACACAACCTTTGAGATCTTAATATTTAGAACAACCTACCATGATTCCGGAGGAGACAGAAATAAAACAAAAACAAAGATGGAAAAATGGACGGACTGCATTATACTGAGGAGGTATGCAATCACTCCACACACAGGGCTAACTCAGTGGTTCTCAACCTTCCTAATACTGTAACCACTTAAGACAGTTTTTCATGTTGTGGTGACCCCCAAACAATAAAATTATTTTCGTTGCTGCTTCATAACTGTCATTTTGCTCCTGTTATGAATCATAATGTAAATATCTGATATGCAGGATGTATTTTCATTCACTGGACCAAATTGGCCAAAATACCCGTTACGCCCAAATTTGAATACTGGTGGAGTTGAGGGGAGAGGATTGATTTAGTCATGTGGGAATTGTAGTTGCTGGGATTTATAGTTCACCTACAATCAAAGAGTATTCTGAACTCCACCAACGATGGAATGGAACCAAACTTGGTACATGGAACTCCCATGACCAACAGAAAATAGTGGAAGGGTTTGGTGGGCATTGATCTTGAGTTTGGGAGTTGTAGTTCATCTACATCCAGAGAGCACTGTGGACACAAAACAGTGATGGATCTGGAACAAACTTGGCACAAATACGCAATACGCCCAAATGTAAACACTGAGTTTGGGGAAAATAGACTTGACATTTGTGAATTGTGGTTGCTGGGATTTATAGTTCACCTACAATCAAAGAGTATTCTGAACTCCACCAATGATGGAATTGAACCAAACTCGGCACACAGAACTCCCATGACCAACAGAAAATAGTGGAAGGGTTTGGTGGGCATTGACCTTGATTTTTAGAGTTGTAGTTCATCTACATCCAGAGAGCACTGTGGACTCAAAATAGTGATGGATCTGGAACAAACTTGGCACAAATACCCAATACGCCCAAATGTAAACACTACATCCAGAGAGCACTGAGGACTCAAACAATTATAGATCTGGACCAAACTTGGCACAAATACTCCATAACACTGATGGAGTTTGGGGGAAATAGACTTGACATTTGGGAATTGTGGTTGCTGGGATTTATAGTTCACCTACAATCAAAGAGCATTTTGAACCCTACCAACAATAGAATTGAGCCAAACTTGGCACACAGAACTCCTATAACCAAGAGAAAATACTGGAAGGGTTTGGTGGGCATTGACCTTGAGTTTTGTAGTTATAGTTCACTTACATCCAGACAGCACTGTGGACTCAAACAATGATGGATCTGGACCAAACTTGGCACAGATACTCTATATGCCCAAATGTGAACACTGGTGGAGTTTGGGGAAAATAGACCTTGAACTCCTCCAACAATTGTATTGAACCAAACTTCCCACACAGAACCCCCCATGACCAACAGAAAAAACTGTGTTTTGTTATGGTCTTTGGCAACCCATTTGACTCCCCCTTGTGACGCCCCCCCCCCCAAGTGTACTGACACCCAGGTTGAGAAATGCTGAACTAAAACAACCTATCCATGTGCACATAACTTGAGAAGAATGGGAAACACACTCAGGTTACACCTATTATTCAGATTTGCCAAGCATTAGCCTGCAAATTACCTTTAATTCTGCCCTAAACCAGTTGGTGGAATCCCTACCATACCTTGAAATAATCTCCGAAAGACCAGGAGCCCAGCATCTCAAAAAAAGTGTGGTGATAGACATCTTTGCCAACGTCGTCCAGGTCATTGTGTTTCCCGCCGGCACGGATACACTTCTGAGTGTTGGCAGCTCGCGACAGTTTGGCCATGGGGTGAGAGGGGTCGATCGTGTTGAGGAAGATGGGTTTGAACTAGATGGGAACAAGAACAGGGCTTCAATTCAAACAAGTCCAATCAAGCATCTTCTAGAACAGTGCTTCTCAACCGCCCTCATGCTGCAACCCCTTAAGACAATTCCTCATGTTGTGGTGACCCCCAACCATCACATTATTTTCGTTGCTACTTCAGAACTGTAATATTGCTAATGTTATGAGTTGTCATGTAAATATCGGATATGCAGGATGTATTTTCATTCACTGGACCAAATTTGACACAAAGACCCAATACACCCAAATTTGAATTCTGGTGAAGTTGGAGAGGGGTTGATTTTGTCACTTGGGAGTTGTAGTTGCTATGATTTATAGTTCACCTACAATCAAAGAGCATTCTGAACTCCACCAACAATGGAATTGAACCAGTCTTGGCACACAGAGCTCCCAAGACCAACAGAAAGCACAAGAAGGGTTTGGTGGGCATTGGCCTTGAGTTTGGGAGATGTAGTTCACCTCCATCCAGACAGCACTGTGGACTCAAACAATGGTGGATCTGGACCAAACTTGGCACGGATACTCAAACTGCCCAAATGTGAAGACTAGTGGGAGTTGGGGAAAACAGACCTTGATATTTGGGAGTTGTAATTGCTGGAATTTATAGTTCACCTACAATCAAATAGCATTTCTGAATTTTATTGTGGCAAGGGAGAGAGACTATTTCCTCTTTTAAAAACCACTCTGCTGCCTTATATTAGTTCAGTTTCTTCTTTTATATTGGCTTTCTGTGTGCTGTTAAACCTTTGTACTTTATATCACAGGCAATGAAACACTCTTGTGTATAACTAAGTAACACAGTTTATTTATAACTTCTGGCTCCAACGCTTGTGGTTACATTTGTGTTTTGTTACAATCTTGAGGCTTACAGTCAGTATCATTTACTTGGTTAACTTTTCTGAATAAACTATCAATGTTTCACATTCACAAACATGTTACTTGCTTTACACACTCTTGGCTGAATTATATTCTGAACTAAGGCAACACTAGCCTTCTTTATGTTCCTTAAAACTCGAGCTCTATTTAACTAACTGCTTCTCTATATCAGAAGTCTTTAACACATCTTCATAACTGCTTATTTCTATCAGGCACTCAAAACCAACTCTCCTCTTCACACACAGATTCCTAACTGTCATTTTCAAACTCCCTCACTCTAACTGCCTCTTTCAGAACCTTGGCTCCGCCCCTTTGGAATGTTCAGCTCTGCTCTCCCCAACTGTCATTTTGGCCTAGCAGCCTTTTCAAATCCTGGGCCTACACTAATCTGCATATGACCAATCGGCTTCACATATGCAAATGAATCCTATCTCTGCTGTTGCTACCCTGTCTGTGCCTATTCTCTCCTATCTGCCATATGTAAACATAGAGCTATACACCAAAACTTTAACATAGAGTAGCAATTTCACTACACTCACCAATGGTAGAATTGGGTCAAACTTCCCACACAGAACCCCCATTAGCAACAGAAAATACTGTGTTTTCTGATGGTCTTTGGTGACCCCTCTGACACCCCCTCACAACCCCCCCCCCCCCCGGGTTGAGAAACGCTGTTCTAGCATGTAGACCAAGAATTGGTAATCCAAAAGGTTTTGCAGGCCACACACGAACCATCTCAATTATAAACATAACCATTAACTAGTATAGGAGGTTTGTAGAAAGTTGTGATTTCCAACAAAAGTTCTGCTTTAGGATCCAATTCTGGCCTCTATACCCTAAAGGCAGCAGGTCCCAGGGGAAAGAACTGGTCAAACCAACCTTGGGTGTTTCTTGCAAAATAAACTAAAGTTTGTTTCAGTTGCCATACATGCTCATGTCAACCTTGTGGATTTTGATATGCCTGGAAATAAGTTCAAGGTAAATATTTGGGAGTTGTTTTTGGTCTTTCCCCACTCTGCCACTGCAAAAGAACCCCCAACCCTCCACTCCCTTCACCCATTTTGAATTGTACATCCGATCTGACCTGATTCATGCCAGCATTGGCGAAAAGGAGAGTTGGGTCATCCAAAGGGATGGTGGCGGAAGAGTGCACATACGTGTGCCGATTCTCCACAAAGAAGTTGATGAAGCGTTGACGAATTTCACTGGCAGTTAATGTCGCCTCCATCTTGGAACTGATAAAAAAAGGGGAGAAAGAAAGTAGTGGAATTCAATGATACATTAAAAATTCAATAAAATATATATTATATAGCTCTGGTGTGAGCTGACCCATGAGGTCACAGAGTCGAAGCGACTGCACAAATCAACAACAACAAACAAGCACGCACACACGCACGCAAACATATATATATAGAAGCTTGTAAGGTAGGGTCCTTCCACACAGTCTCTCTATTCCATGAACTGATCTGATTACCTGCTTTAAACTGGATTATATAATAATAATAATAATAATAATAATAATAATAATAATAATAATAAACAACTTTATTTATGGGTTGTTGTAGGATTTTTTGGGCTATATGGCCATGTTCTCTCCTGACGTTTCGCCTGCATCTCTGGCAAGCATCCTCAGAGGTAGTGAGGTCTGTTGGAACTAGGAAAATTGGGTTTATATATCTGTGGAATGACCAGGGTGGGACAAAGGACTCTTGTCTGCTGGAGCTAGGTGTGAATGTTTCAACTGACCACCTTGATTAGCATATAATGGCCTGACAGTGCCTGGAGCAATCTTTTGTTGAGAGGTGATTAGATGTCCTTGCAGACTCCTTCAACCTGAGAAATCAGCCATAGCAGAGCACCTGATGAACTAACCTGGACACAGCAGATTATTTGAGAACACAGAAATGCGGGACCATTCCCACAACCACCATGTCAGACTACACAGAGAAGCCACTGAAATCCATGAGCATGTGGACAACTTTATTATTATTAATTATTATTATTATTATTATTAAACTTTATTTGTACCCCGCTAGCATCTCCCGAAGGACTCGATGCGGCTTACAGAGGCCAAGGCCTCAATAAAAAGAACAGCAAACAATAACAATACAATACAAAGCAAAAATTAAAACATAAGCAATAACAAAAAACATTACACTATTACACATTAAAAACAACTTCAACAGAAAGGAGGAAACCATGAAAACGAACAACATCTGGCTACCAGTATTTAAAAAAACCCTCTAAAATTACAACACGAAAACAACAGAGAGGAAACAAACAAGGACATCTAATCACCTCTCTACAAAAGATTCCCCCAGGCACTGCCAGGTTATCAAATGCTAATCAAGGTGGTCAGTTGAAACATTCACACCACGCTCCAGCAGACAAGAGTCTTGACATTTGGGAGTTGCAGTTCCTGGGATTTATAGTTCACCTACAATCACAGAACATTCTGAACCCCACCAACGATAGAACTGGGCCAAACCTCCCACACAGAACCCACAGAACCATCCAAAGTGGGCCACAGCAACGCGTGGCAGGGGGAAAGATATAATCTGGGATCAGATCCTGGGCCTGAGTTCCTCTGACCATTTGCCTCTCGATTCGGCCTTTCAGCTTCCCTGCCAAGGAGTGCTGGGGCCTCACCAAACTACAGCTCCCAGGATTCCAAAGTGGTTTCAAACCGCGTTAAAACTGCAGTGCAGATGCATCCATGAGAGGAAAAGTGAGGCAATGAAACAGCCAAGTAATACAATCTAAAGGAAGTTATGAATGATGAGGATGAGAGGCCTTTGCCACCCCCCAAAGCGCCCTCCCTCCCGGTACCTGTCCTCTCCGGCCGGGCAGCTGCCGAAAGAAGAACAGGCCTCAGGCCGCACTCCCAACCTCCACGCCGGCTTCTCCTAGGCCCCGCCTACCCGCGTCAAGGTGCTGAGCTGTGATTGGTGCAGCAGCCGCCTCGGCCCCTCCACGCAGCCTCCGATTGGCCAGCGCCGCGGAGAGGCGGGACCCTTCCTACGGCTGATGCAATGCCTCGGCAACCAAGGTCACGTGGCCTGCCAAGAAAGGGCAGAAGGCGACCAGGGCGCCGCCATTAAGGGACTGACCTAGGGCCAAGCTATAGGAAGGCATGGCTCTCATTCTCATCCAAGCAGTCAGGTTGCAGGTGGCCAGGAAGGATGGGCAGCATTCCTCCTGAAGCCTGAGGCAAAATTAAAGAGTTATTAGAATTATAATATATCAATATATATATATATATATATATATAACTGGACTGACCTTGAAGGAGCTGGGGGTGGTGACGGCCGACAGGGAGCTCTGGCATGGACTGGTCCATGAGGTCACGAAGAATCGGAGACGACTGAACGAATGAACAACAACATATATATATATATATATATATACACATACACATTATCATCCAGAGGTTTATATATGCAGATGACCTCGCCCCAACAACACAAGCAGAAGTCCACACAGAGAAGCCGAGGAAATCCACAAGAAGCAGGTGGGGAATTTCAACAGAAGGGACGAAACCATGGAAATCAACAAAATCTGGCTCAATATTATATTATATATATATACATTATCACCAAGAGCTTTATATATGCAGATGACCTTGTCCCAACAACACAAGCAGAAGTCCACACAGAGAAGCTGTGGAAATCCACAAGAAGCAGGTGGGGAATTTCAACAGAAGGGAAGAAACCATGGAAATCAACAAAATCTGACTCCCAGTATTTAAATTTTTAACATTAAATAAAGAACAAAACTCAAACATAGAGGAACTCCAGACAAGAAACCATCAGGGACAATTCATCACCTCTCCACAAAGGATTCCCCCAGACAGTAAGGAAATGAACAAAATCTGGCTCCCAATATTTAAAAAAACTCTAAAATTGTAACATTAAAGAACAAAACTCAAAGTGGAACTTCAGACAAGAAACAATCAGGGACAACTAATCACCTCAACAAAGGATTCTCCCAGGCAGTAAGGAAATGAACAAAATCTGGCTACCACTATTTTAAAAAAACCTCTAAAATTTTAACATTAAATAAAGAACAAAACTCAAACATAGAGGAACTCCAGACAAGAAACCATCAGGGACAATTCATCACCTCTCCACAAAGGATTCCCCCAGACAGTAAGGAAATGAACAAAATCTGGCTCCCAATATTTAAAAAAACTCTAAAATTGTAACATTAAAGAACAAAACTCAAAGTGGAACTTCAGACAAGAAACAATCAGGGACAACTAATCACCTCAACAAAGGATTCTCCCAGGCAGTAAGGAAATGAACAAAATCTGGCTACCACTATTTTAAAAAAACCTCTAAAATTTTAACATTAAATAAAGAACAAAACTCAAACATAGAGGAACTCCAGACAAGAAACCATCAGGGACAACTAATCACCTTTCCACAAAGGACTTCCCCAGGCAGTAAGGAAATGAACAAAATCTGGCTCCCACTATTTAAAAAAACCTCTAAAATTTTAACGTTAAATAAAGAACAACACTCAAACACAGGGGAACTCCAGACAAGAAAGAATCAAGGATAGCTAATCACCTCTTGACAAAGGATTCCCCCAGGTAGTAACAAGCCACATTTAAAAACTGTCAGGCCATCAAACGCTAATCAAGGTGGCCAATTGAAACATTCACACCTACTATGAGAATGGAAAAAAAATTCTGGCTCCCA